TTTTAAATTTCTTTTTTTTTTTTTTTTTTTTTTTGGTACCAGAGATTGAACTCAGGTCCTTGCGCTTGCAAGGCAGGCGGCAGAACCACTGAGCTAAATCTCTGGTCCTAAATTTTGCTTTTTGAAATTAGCAGTTGTTTTTTGTTTTTGTTTTTTCTGGTACCAGGAACAGAACTCAGGACCTCATGCTTGCCAGGTGTGGCAGAGCTACAACCCCGACCCACTTTTTGTTTTTTGAGAGTCTCCTCATGCAGTTCAGGCTGGCCTTAAACTCCTGGAGATCCTCCTGCCTCAGCTGGGATTACAGGCCTGCGCTACCACCACATCTAGCCAAAATTAGCATATTCCTAACAATTTTCAAACAGCAATTCTGATGATTCTCAACGTTTATCAGATACACACAGAAATGATGACTGACCAATTGTATAAACAACTTCCACATCATCCATCTGGGAGTCGGTAATGCTGTTTTTCGCTTCACCTTTCACTTCCCCGAGGAGAAAACCTTCCTGCGGACACAGATGAGAGGCCAGTTATGGAACACGCTGATCGGATGGACGCTGCCCAGCTCCTACCCACCGAGCACCTCGTCAGGCTGCTCTACTGTGGGCAGGCACCGAGACGGCCAGGAATGTAACCGGTGGGATTGCACACGGCACTGTGGCTCAGGAAGGGGACGGAGGTCGTGGGCCGAGGTAGAGGAGGCCGTGGAGGGGACAAGACGGGAGCTGGCTGGCTGTAAAGGCCAGGGGCTATCAGTGTGGGCAGCGCCGGGCCTCAGCACGCCGGAGCAGAGGCCGAGGGCTGAAGTCGGTAGGGCGCCCAGGGCTCCTCTCCACTAGGAGACCGGAGGCTGCGCCATCTCAATGCCCGACGCTGGCCTCAAAGCGGGGGCAAGACCGGTTACCAGATTTAGAATTGTGAAAAATGGGAAACTGCAAGACAAGAGAGTAAAGACTGGGAATTCAGGCTCAGGCTCTGCTGTCTGGAACAGGCTGTAAGGTGAGCCCGACTCCTTAACGCAAGCATCCGCCCGGAGCACTGGTGATTCGCGGCACTGCGGAGAACCCAGGTCTCCTCCAGGTGCGTTTGAAGACACCCGGTGTGCTCGACAGTGACATTTCACCCTCTAGGAAGTTAGTTAATACGGTAATCTACTCGCCTGCCCCAGGGTCGTGGACACCACTGAATGGGTGCTAAGCCAGGAAAGCGTCTTTTCTAAAGGTTTGCTTTCTATTTGCTCTTTGCTGGATGCTAATTTGTAAGGTCACACAGAACATACTGATTACAACCTCTCTCAGGATTTGTTGAAAAGCAGTTTGGAGCCGGGTGTGGTGGTGCACGCCTGTAATCCCAGCACTCAGGAGGCTGAGGCAGAAGGATCACGGTGAGTTCGAGACCAGCCTGGGCTACATAGTGAGTTCCAGGTCAGTCTTAGCTCCATAGTGAGACCCTGTCTCAAAAAAACAAAAAAAAACAAAACAAAAAAACCAATTTGGGGGAACGCACGATATTACATATACGTGTTGGTTTTTTGAGACAGGGTCTGGCCCAGGCTGGCCTCGAACTCGCACCGCTCCTGCGTTCTGTTTTACAGGAATCGCAGCCGGCGTCGCTCGGCCTGGGGTCCTGCCGTCCCGGGTCCCTCTGCAGGTTACCAAGCGCGCGGGCAGGACACCGCTGCCGACCTCAGCCGCACATCCCACGGCCTTTCTCAGCTCCGCGCCCCTCCGCCTCACCCCGCGGCTCTGAACCTAGACCAAAGTACAGACGCGCACATCAGAAAGTGTCGGAAGGAACTAGCCGAGGCCTGACAAGCGGAGCAAAGTTGGAAGCGGTGCCAGCAGGTAAGTACTCAGCTTCTCACCCCCTCGCGTCCTCTGGCGCACGGTGGCCCGCGCGGCCGACTGCGGGAGCCAGAGGCGC